CAGAATAAGGGGATAGTGCACGGTTTAAAACCAGGAAAAGTGTGCATCAGGGTTATAGCTTTTCATCATACTTATTCAATCTATGCTGAGCAAATAATCCAAGAAACTGGACTATATGAAGAAGAACATGGCATCAGGATTGATGGAAGCCGCAGTAACAACCTGCGATATGCAGGTGACACAATCTTGCTTGGTGAGAGTGAAGAGGACTTGAAGCACTTACTAATGAAGATCAAAGACTACAGCCTCCAGTATGAATTAAATCTTCACATAAAGAAATCAAAAATCCTCACAACTGGACTAATAAGCAACATTATAAAGGGAGAAAAGATTGAAACTGTCAAGGATTTCATTTTACTAGGATCCACAATCAACACCCAGGGAAGCAGCAGTCAAGAAATCAAACGACGTATTGCATTGGGCAAATCTGCTACAAAAGTCCTCTTTAATGTGTTAAAAAGCAAAGATGTCACCTTGAGGACTCAGGTGCACATGACCCAAGCCATGGTGTTTTCAATCGCCTCATATGCATTCAAAAGCTGGACAATGAATAATGAAGACCGTAGAAGAATTGATGCCTTTGAATTATGGTGTTGGCAAATAATATTGAATATACCATGGACTGCCAGAAGAACGAACAAATCTGTCTTGGAAGAAGCCAGAATGCTCCTTAGAAGCCAGGATGGCGAGACTTTGTCTCAAGTACTTCGGACATGTTATCAGGAGGGACCAGTCCTAGGAGTCCTTTGCCAAGGACATCATGCTTGGTAAAGTAGAGGGTCAGTGAAAAAGAGGAAGACCCTCAATGAGATGGATTGACACAGTGGCTACAACAATGGGCTGAAGCATAAGAAAATTGTGAGGGTGGCGCAGGCCGGGGCAGTGTTTCTTTCTGTTGTACATAGTGTCGCTATGAGTCGTAACCAATTCAATGACACCTAACAATAACAACAACATGTGACTTGGACCCTATCCCTTCCTATCTCTCTGTGCTCAGTGAGTGTTAGGATAGAAATGAATGATACTGAGGATGAGATTACCCTTTCCCTTAGGCCCTTTAGTATAAATGTGGTAAGTACACTTCCTCTGAAGTTGAATGTCAATGAAATGGCATATAAAAGTGGAAAAGAAAGGGGTACACTGTGACCCATATCTCCTTCAAATCCCTATTGTTACAATCTTAGTTCAGGTCCCCATTAGGACTTAAACTATTGTGACAGCCTCCTAATCAGCCCTGTATCTAACCTTCCACCTCTTCAATCATTTCTCTATATTTTTGCCGAAGTGATCTTTCTAAACACAATTCTGAACATTTTACTGCTCTGCTCAGCAACCTTCAATGGCTACCCTATAGCAGTGATCAGCAAACTTTGCAGGCCACACATGGTCTCCATCAAATATTCTTTTTTTTTTCTAACACCCCTTAAAGAAAAGTTAAAACCATTCCGAGCTCGTGGGCGGTACAAGCCAAGGGTTGGATTTGGCTTTACAGACTCCAGTTTGTTTGCACCTATAGAATAAAGTGCAAGTTCCTTAATGTAGCATACTAGTCCTTCCATTATCTGGCTTACTGCTTTCTTCTCAAGTATTATCTTTTGCCAAAAACACTTCCCACACCTTCTGCTGCAGTTATGTTGAATTGTTGGCAGTATCTGGAAGTACACCAGGCTGGGTTTTGTACCTCTGTACTCGTTCACATTGCTTCCATTAAAATTGTCCTCCCATATTCAACTGGTAAACTACTCCTCTCTTAAGAGTCTACTAAATGCATTGTCTCTTCTCTTAACTGTTTCCTAACTGGCCAGTTAGAACTGGTCAATATATGTTGTGCAAATGTGGATCACAGTATCTATGGTACTCCACTGTGCTTATTTGCTCCCTAACTCCAACGTGAGCCTGTTAAAGGCAGAAAATGGCTTACTTGGATTTGCGTCCCTAAATACGTTAGCCATTTAGTAAATGTTTGTGGAAGGAATGTTTCCAGACACAGCGTTAGCTAGTGACCCAACACGAACAATAACATAAAAAAAAATGAAGAGAGGATCAACATTCCTCTGAGTTGTGAGTGACCTATACACAGAAGAAAGTTATTATTTTTGTAGTCTCTAGACAAGTTCCCCAACTCCCATCCTTACACTTTGTTATGTGATTTCATCGTACACCCACGAAGGCATGGAAATGGTTGCAAAGACTCTCATGGTAGATTTTTTGAGTAATAATCCCTTCTATTAGTTCCTGTGTTTTTAGAATCATAAATGGGGACTTAAAATCCATCTTCTAATAAGCATACTTTGAAAAATGGTGCAAGGACATCTAGTATTATTAGTGCTAGAATGATGACCTAAATAGGTGTTGGTGTGCTGCCCTTGGAATGTAGCCACCCTATCTCAGTGGGGGAAAACGTGCTCTGAGTTCCAAGCTGATGACTTAGGAGTTAAATTTTGGACATAACTCATTCCTAAGTTTGGGGCTGTCTCTACTTAAAATATATGAAGCATAGGTCAGGAACTGGAATAGGAGTCAATCAGATTAAGAGCAAAGCCATAAAAATGAGAGCCAAAGAGAAATATGATACTGTGTTTCCAAAATTAGACCATTTTCTGGTGAGGCTCCTAGTTGTACACTCTGGAGGGGAAGATGCATAAAGGAAGTAAACTTTAGAAAACAAAGAACAGGAATATTTGGTAGCTATTAGAAAACAGCAGTAATAGCCAACATTTATTGAATGCTTACTATGTGCTAGGAACTGTTCTAAGCACTTTATATGAATTGTCAATTTAATCCTTCCAACAACACTATAAGAAAACCAAAAAAACCAAATCTGTTGCCATCAAGTCGATTCCGACTCATAACGACCCTACAGGACAGAGTAGAACTGCCCCATATTGTTCTAAGGCTGTCACATCTTTCTCTCATGGAGCTGCTGGTGGGTTCAAACCACCAACCTTTCAGTTAGCAGCAGAGTACTTAACCACTGTGCCACCAGGGCTCCTACACTATAAGGAGGTTTTTATTATTATCTTTATTTTATGGATGGGGAAATTGATGCTCAGAGCAGTTTAGTGATTTGCTTAAGATCCTATAGCTAATAAATGGCGGAGCTTGAATTTGTTTTGTTTTTAACTTTTTTTTGTTTATTGTGTTATAGTTTAAATGAAGTTTACATTTCAAGTTAGTCTTCCATACAAAAATTTATACATACATTGTTATGTGACCCTGATTGCTCTCCCTATACTGTGGCAGCACACTCCTCCTTTCCACCCTGGATTTCCTGTGTCCATTCAACCAGCTCCTGACCCTCTCTGCCTTCTCATCTCACCTCTGGACAGGCGCTGCCTGTTTAGTCTCTTGTACCTACTTGACCTAAGAGGCACACTCCTCAAGAGTATAACTGTATGTCCCACAGTCCAGTCCAATCCCTGTCTGAAGAGTTGGCCTCGGAAATTGTTTTAGTTCTGGGCTGATAGAGAATCCAGGGGCCATGCTTTCCGGGGTTCCTCCAGTCTCAGTCAGACCATTAAGTCTGGTCTTTTTACTAGAATTTGAGTTCTGCACCCCACCTTTCTCCTGCTCCATCCGGGACTCTCTGTTGTGTTCCCTGTCAGGGCTGTCATTGGTGGTAGCTGGACACCGTCTAGTTCTTCTGGTCTCAGGGTGATGAAGTCTCTGGTTTATGTGGCCTTTTCTGTCTCTTGGGCTAATACTTTCCTTGTGACTTTGGTGTTCCTCATTCTGGCTGAGCTTGAATTTGAACCAAAGCTTTCTGACTCCATTGTCCACAATTTAAGCAGCTTCTGATGATATACATGGTACCGCCAACAAAGTGCGGTGTGGAACTGATGGGAACTCTCACCTGGCCCTCTTAATACCAAGAAAAACTGAATCAGAAGAAAATATGTAAGGAAGAAGGGCTAGGCTGGATCAATGGAGAATTGTCAGTTTCCAATGATTTTGCCTCTTAGCTTTGGACAGAAAATCCTAATAATCAGGGTATAAGCTTCACACTCCATTTGCCCACAGTAGTGGTAAAAGACTTATGGGAAGACTCTGTAGATTTTTTTTGTGTTTTGTTTTGTTTTTTAGAAACCAGAAAGGATCAGAAAGAAAGTGAAGAAGCTGTCTGAGATGAGGTTAAAGCCTAGGATAGAGAATATTGGGACCGGAAATCCATCTACACAAGAGGAGGGTGTGGGAGGAAAGGAAGTTTGAGGAGCAAGATATATCTCCCTTTTGCATGTGCTAAGGCAGAAGGATCCTGGAGTCAGTTGGTCAAAGTCAAGATGAGAAAAATAATTGACAAGTTACCAAGATGCAAAGTGCACAATGAATGATGGCTGCCAATAATAGAAAGTGCAGATGGCATGTTATTAAATTGTGAAGAAGGAGAAAATGAATCACAATCTTCGCCATGAAGACTCTCGGGGAGAGAAGATATGCTAAAGCTCATAAATGTGTAGAGATGTGGGAGCAGAAATGGCCAGAGGGTTGCTAAGGCACATCATGGAAGAGAAGGCAGAGAAATAGGAGAGGCAAAAGAATAACAATTTTGGTTTAGACTTTTTATAAGGAAGTGATATGATGGAAATTTAATATTTGTAGAAACAATGTTGGTTGAGAACAGATTTATTAATATGTATAATATGTAAAATACTTTAAAATAAGAAATTGTAAGTATAAATTAGAATAATTTATTTAAAAACACTTTTAAAAGGATAAAGTGCTTTCCAAACAAATGATACTTCTTGTCATGAAATGTTATCACCTAAATGTGGGAACTCAGGGGCCGTTAGGTTCAAATTGGGGCAGGTGCTTATAAAATGTGACATGAGGAGCAAATCTTATACTATAGTTGGGTACCCACTGTCTGGTATATGAATTTTATTTACCATGCTCACTAAAATTTTTGTTGTTATTATTTGTTTTAAATGAGGTAAATTACAATGATAGGTCAAGTTTTCATTCTTTTTTTCCTGCACATTGGAGAAGTTTAAAGAGAGCCATTAGGACCTGTCATTTCCTTTGGCTAATTTCCTAAGTGCACCTTTTACATCCTTATTTCTCAGGGTGTAAATGAGGGGATTTAACATAGGAGTAATTGCTCCATAAAATATTGAGAAGAATTTGTCCTCTTCTTGGAACTCCTTTGACTGAGGTTTCAAGTACATGTAGATGGCCGTCCCATAAAATACAGTGACTATAGTCAGATGGGATCCGCAGGTAGAAAAAGCTTTGAGCCTGGCCTCTGCAGAGCGGATCCTCAGCACAGCAACCACAATGCGAGTGTAGGAGACGAGGATGAAGGTGAAGGGCACGGGCAGTGTGAATATGCTGATGGCCAGACCCAGAATAAGTCTGACTGGGGTGTCTGAGCAGACAAGTTTCAACAGGGCCTGGTACTCACAGATAAAATGGTTGATACTATGTCCACAAAAATGAGTGGGAAATGCAATGACTGGTATTATTGTCAAAAGGAAGGCACTGGCCCAGGTTACCATGGCCAACTGTATGCAAACCTGGTTGTTCATAATGATGGTGTAGCGCAGGGGGTTGGAGATTGCAACAAACCTGTCATAAGCCATGACAGCAAGGAGGAGACACTCGGTCATCCCCAGAAAGAGGGATGTGGTCATCTGGGCATAACAGTTGGTATAGGAGATGGTGGGGAAGTCTCTGAAGCATTGGGTCAAGACATACGGCTCCCAGCTGGTGGAGTAACAGATATCAAGGAATGACAAGTTACTGAGAAAAAAATACATGGGAGTATGAAGTTGAGAATCCCATCTGACTACAGCAATTATAAGGCTGTTTCCAAACATTGTGACTAGGTAGAAGAACAGTAGTCCCAAGAAGAAGGCAGCCTGGATTTGAGGCTGTTGGGAAAATCCAACAAGGATGAATTCAGTCACCTCAGAGGCATTATCATTCTTTAGACTGCCCATTTAGTTGTCTCAGATACTGGTAAAATAGAGAAAACATAATGTCGTCTACATGGGAGATAAGAGGGAAAACATCTCAATAGCCTCTTAGAATTCACTTCTGGAGCTCTGATTAATTACTGTGTATCGTTTGTCTTATTGGGTTAGGCTGTGCGGCACAAGTATCCAATGATGGAAATATAGCCTCTCTTTAATTTTCCGTTTTGTAGCACCTTATATAATCAGGAAGGCTGATTAAGTTGTTTGGGCTTTTAGAGTCCAAATAAAGTTACTTATATCTGGTCAAGTAAGACATCTGCTTTCTGGTTAAATAAGACAAACACTAACGTGAGGTTAAACAGAATTATTACTATAATTTGAGGGCAGAGCTAGATGGTTGATTTTACCCTTGATCAGTAAAGAGACAAATATGCTATAGCTCCCCACCAAAATATGGGTTTGCCAGTTGTATTTAGTTGGTTCACCAGTTTAAAAAAAATTTCTAAGTTGAAGTTCAAGGATTCAGTCGTGGCTGTGTGAATTCTTGAAATATTTCTTTGCTTTCCAAATTTTTTTTGTTCTTATATCTCACTTAGAACCACTTAAGGATGGTAAATTAGGAAGTATATATGGAGCTAAGGCGATCAGTCAATTCAATGGAAAAACACAATCAGCCATATTGACATGAAATAAACCAAGCTACTGGTGGATTTACTGAAATCTCACTCTTTGTTTAATTGTTCTGACATCTGTCCTCAATTGGCAGATCCTTACTAGGTGCAGATCCTACCATCTCCACATCATTGCAAACAAGAGCTTAAATGGTAATGGGAAAATCTTACCAGATAAAAAAATTGCATGAAGAAATGGTTACCTGAAATTGTGAAGAGGAACAAGGCAAATTTGGGAATGCATATTTCCAGAAATGTTAAAAAAAGAAAAGACAGAGCTCTGTCAGTCTTGCATGATTTAGGTAGGAAGTGAAACAGATGACCCATTGTGGTCTCTTTTGGCTTTAGGATTTTCTTATTTAGACATAGCATCAAAGCTCTCCATACCATATACTTACATTAGTGCTGTATGTAATTGGATCATTCTTCATGCCCAAAAGGCAGAATGTTGAAATACAGAAAGAAAGCAAGGGAGCCAGCTGGATTTAAGCCCAAGTTCTGGTGCCACCCCGCACAATCTTGAGAAAGCCAGTTTCATCGTATGTGAAATGGGAATATCACCTAACCTCTTGCAGCATTGCTCTAAGTATTAGATGAGATAATTTCTATAAAGCATCTAGCCCATTTATAGCCACCCAAGAAATGTTAGTTCCCTTCCCGCTTTCACGCTCCGTGTAGAACCTACCCTTCAGCTCAGATTCATTCCTGTGAACATGTGCCAAAATGTCATTTCATCCTACCTCTCCTTGTGAGGTTATTACATTACCAGAAACAATACAATCTGAAGTTTTAGGTTTGAGTAACAACTAAAGAAAGTTTGACTGCGTAAGTCATTAAAATTTGTTCCTGATGGTAGGCGGGAAAGACACATAAAGAGACGAAAATTACTCACTGACTTAGAGCTGGAGGACAGCAACAGAGAAGTGCACCTCATTCATAACAGAAGCATTTTGCAGTTGGCGACACCCCCACAAATGACTAATCTCCAAGAAGAAATTTGATTCCTTCAACTGCAAGGAAAAGAAGTTTAGCATAAGCAGCTGTGGTGATAAATCTTCCTATCAGTTGAGGTTATAAGGCTGGAAAATCTTGAGGTAACTGTGAATCATTCACATTTATTTCCACTTGTTTAAATATATTTTTCTTTTATTTACATAGAGGTGGCTTGTAATAAGGCTACCATGAAATGTGGATGTCCAAAAACAATGAAAGAAAATTCATTTTCTAGCATACATAATAATAACACAGATGCCAGTTCATGACATGCAGTGTTTCTTTGCCTGTACAAATATTAAAATATTTCTTCTTGTAATGTCCAAAATTCTGTTACTTTGTTTCCAGCCACAGAAAAATAATATCTTTTTTGTATACTTTGATACGTATATTTTCAAAAGATTGGTGTTTGCAAAAAACGTGTAGTCTTACTTACAGACCTCAAATATTTAAGTAGTGTTAAAAGAAGCCTCAATTTAAATGCAAGAAGGAACTTTGAAACTTTGGAAAATCTTGTGGTGGTTTAAGTATTCATAACCTCATCCTGAAGAAAAGTTTCCACTTCTGGGACTTAGGGGATGTCCCTGCTTTGCAATTAAGCCACTTAATACAAACAAGCAGAGAGAATACAAAGGAGAAGGAGGAGGAGACGTCTGCTATATTTAGCTCATTAAAATAATGTTCACTTTCCTCCCAACTCTGTTAATGAGAATTTCAATGAATGTTCCTTATAGCAATGATTCTGTACAGTAAATATGGTAGTTTGGGAGAGGGGACTAGGGCTGGTCTAAAAGAGAGACTTTCTTCTGTCTGGGCAGTTCTTTATTCACTCTCTCTTCTGCTAGCAAGTTAAGTGTCCAATTAGTGCTATGAAGAATTTAAAATGAGGAATTTTGGAGACCAAGATGTATATATAATGTGATTGCCTAACTTTGCTTAAATTTTGTGCCTGCTGGGTCCTGTGAATGATATGCTATGTGGATCAATCAGGTTTTCTCTCAAATATGATTGTGAGTTCAGCAGAGATTAGATGATGGTTTATTTTTATTTAGTTTTACTTTTTTATCTTGAGGGAATTTAGATCCTGTATAATGGAAGTAAGGTTGAGTGTACAGTTTGGGGTCTGAAAGCCCCTTGACTTTAGTGACCATACTTGAGTCATTTGTTTTCTCAGCCACTCTACCTTACACACAGGAAACTCTTGAAAGATGTTTACTGAAAGACAAGCTCTTGATATCACTTTGACTAAATGGATTGTTCCATTCAGATATTTTTATACTGCACTTAATTATACTAGTTGTTTTTGACCATTTGACCCCTGAATAACTTTTTTTCCTTGAAATTTTTACTCTTTACTTCCTTTGTACACAAAAAATGTTGATGGGTAGTGGAGTGCTCTATAGAAAGACAAGAGACAAGGAGGACTTTTAGCCAGAGAGTCAGTTTACATTAGAATTTTTTGTGTTACTCTTCCTACCACTGTCCATAAGACGGTTGGTGGTGAGGTTTTCCCTATGTGGAGTACTCATTCCTCAAGAATTTTCTTTGTGGTTCTATTCTAGGAAGCTTCTTACCCCTGTATGTTAAAAATATATTAAACCTGCATGGAAATCCACAAAATAAGAAGGAGAATAAGATGGTGAACATCTGCAGGAGCATACAAATTGGGAGAAATTGCAGTGCTATCAAGAAAATATTTCATGGAGGACATGGTTGATCCTTCTCTAATGAAGATTACAGAACTGGCATAGACGCAAGCTACAGTAGGAACAGAAGACTTCAGCTGTCCAGGCACCAGAGGGAAGTCTCATTCTGCTAAAAGCAGGGCATCTGATAAATTTGGGATTTGCCTTGCTGACAATTTCATTTCTCAGAAGGTTAAAGAAGCATTGAGGGAAAATGATGGTATAGGTTTAATTATGATGGAAAGGACTGGAATCTTGGGAGAAAATAACCATATCATCTGGGAGTTCATAATAGAAAGAAACTCTTTGGCCAATATTTCTAAATGGGAAGTTGATGGTGACGTTATAGATATCTTTTCTCTGAATCTTTTAATTTAAGATTTATTAAAGTCTCTGATAATAGTTTGACCAGAGCCAGAGAGTCCCCAGAGACTTAAGATGAAAATAGATCTTTTTTCATTTCAAGAGCACAGAGCAGGCAAATGGCCCAGACTCAGCTCTGCTGGGTGTAAACAGTATTTTCATAGCAATTTCATAAGGCCCAATTGACAGTAACTTTCCCATCCCTTCGTCAGAGTGTCCTAGACCCATTCCCATAGCATACTGACCTGTGCAGTCTCATCTTAAAGTTTACCAGGTATCTGGATTTTACTTATCACATGGATGCTTTTCTCAGAACACCTTAATGCTGTATTTTTTGGTATGTAAATAGGAGGATTCAATCTAGGCTTCACTGGTCATGCAGAATCATTAATTCATTCAGTTATTCATTCAACAAATATTTATTGAGCTCTTACTATGTGTCTAGCTTTGTTCTAGGTGCTGGGGGTACAATAATGAACAAAAGAGGCACAGCTTTCCTTCTTGTTTAGCTTATATTTTATTGGGAATTGACAGACAATAAGTAACAAATACATAAAACAATTTTAGATAGTAAGAAGTGTTAGGAGGAAAATAAAACAGGGTGATACAAAAGAGAGTAGTGAAACGAGTTTATTACTATAGATGTATGGTTAGGCAAGGCCTTTTCAAGGAAGATGACATTTGATCTGGGACAAAAATGACATAAAGGAACCAGTCATGTGAAAATATGGGGGAAGAGAGCTCCAGGCAGAGGGAACAGCAGGTGCTAAGACCCTAAGGCAAGAAGACATTTAACAGTTTGCCGAATAGATAGAAGATAAGTGTGGATGAGGCATAGTGTAGGGTGATCAACTGTCCTGGTTTGTTCAGGACTTTCTCAGTTTTAGCATTGAAAGTCTTGTGTACCAGGAAACCCCTCCATTCCTGTATGGGATTTGGAATTGCCACAGAAATTGGTTAATGACATTGACCTCACAGTTAGAGTATTTTTCTCCAAGTTAACCCTTTGGTGACCCAATTATTTTCTGCTTCGCATTTTTTGTTGATACCATGTGTTTTCATTAATGGAAGCATGCTGAATCATTGAGTGTGTCTGAATTTTGGGTAGGTAGTATGAATTTTTTTCTTGTCCCCTTCCACAAGCCTACCTTAAGTGTTTAGTGATACATATGAAGTACTACTAATTATACCCCAGAGTCCCCACCTGCGTCTATTGGTACATATGTGCAGCAAATAAAAAATTTCAAAATTTCTATTTTCCTACCAAAAATTCAGACTTCTCATACAATATCCTGTAAAAACAGTAACTTGT